GGGAAGGACATTGGAGGGTCACGTGAAGCTCCTGCAGAGGAGCCGGGCTTTGCTCTGAAGACTCACATTGCTGTTTAAATGTATTCATATTTCTTTGTTGTTTGGAATCAAACCCAAGGCCTTGTGCATGCTAGGCAAGCATTCTACCACTGAACATACCCCTCACCTTTGTCTGTTTGAGAAAATATTCTGTGGCACAACTTGAAGCACCTGGCACATGTGTCCCAAAGCTCATTATCCAGCCTTCAGGGTAGGACACAGCTATATCAGAAGATGACGGTGCTTCCTGCTGTTTCTTCCCTTCCATTCCAGGTGGCCTGTGCTGAAGGGAACCTCTATGTGCTGACAGTGCCTCAACTGCAAGTGGTCTCCAGAGTGATTACATTTCCTCACCTCTCTGTTAACCTCACATGCTCTCCTGACCAACAGTGGGTTTTTGTGTCTCCACAAGATTCAGACTCGGGCCCAAAGGTCAGTGCCTGGGAACTTTGTCCATGGTAAGCCTAACCCAGTAGAAGGAGGCTAGAAGACCTGGACTGTGAGACTGTGTGATGTGGATGCTCAGGCTGCTTTTCACAGGATCAAGTCCTCAATCTAGACAAGAGCTTCCTGCAGGAAGCTCGGCCCTTGCCCTGTCTCTGCTCTTTTCTGGCTGCTGTGCTGTGAATTCTGTACTAGATAGGGTAAAGATCAGTTTTGAATAGCCTTGGACTTGAGCATCTCTCCACCAGGATGCTCATAAAGAGCCATTTGGTGAACTGAAGATTCGTTGATGATGATGGTGGAGTGAGGCCCACTACAGATGCTGGACTGAGCATCTGATGCCTGGGTTGGGGTGCAGCAGAGGAACATAGTCAGGAGAGACACTGTGTGAGTCACAGAGACTTGTTCCATGATTTATAAGCACAGAGATGTCCACAGGATACATATGCCTGAGGTGAAGCACCTGTTGAATGTCAGGACCTGAACAGGAAGTTAGGCTACAGTGGAAAGAACAAGAGCTATTGGAGCACAGTAATGGAGCAGGGACTAAGGGACCTGGTGGCCAAGGAAGCAAACAGAAGAGCAACTAGGTACAGAGGCCATGGGATGGGGCCACCCACAGTTTGGAAGCAGGACATGGAGATGTCCTGGACTGCTCTGTTAGGTTCACTATGGGAGGTGTGAGTGTGGTATCTAGACAGACCTGCCAGAACCAGGAGACAGGTTGGGACTAGAGGGCTTTCTGAGCTCTCGGTTCTGAGAAGCCCCTCCCTCAGTGCACTCTGACCACACAGAGATGTTTCCTCAGGTGTTCCACACGCAGTCCTTGCCACACCAGTCAGAAGACAAGTCTCCTGTCTCCACCACCTTCCCCATCAGGCAGAGTTCCAGAGCCTGCTGGGCTCCTGATGAGGCAGCCAGACTGATGGTGATGCACAGAGATGACAGGGGCACGCAACTGGTTGTCACTACCTTTGAGTTAAAGACCAAGAAATCCAGGGATAGAGTGAACATCCTGGGTAAGGTCCCTGTGCTGGCTGCAGCCTGCAGTTCGATGTTTTAAGATGGGCTTCTCACAGTTTCTTTGGAACACTTTCTCTTCCCTCTCAGGGAAACAGACAGGCATAGTGTCCTAGTAAGCTTTGTTGCTGTGATTTCATGCACTGGTTGAGTAATGGAGCACTTACTACATGTTGGGTCCTGTGTGACCCTGGGATTCTGATAGTTAATTCTCCCCACACCCATGAATCCCGCTCCTAACTTACCTTCCTGCATCCATTCCTACTTCTTCTGTGCCAAGGCCCTGTTTCAGCCCTGGATACAAAGAAAGATGAGTAAAAGCTGGGACTCTCTACCCCAAGGAACTACTAGTCCCATTGGAGAATAAGACCACACTGTCCTCACTCTCTCTTTAGGTTAAATACGTATCACCCTAACAGGCCTTTTCTGTGGTCCTCTACCTGTTTTCTTGTGTACTGTGTTTAATTACTTTTATATCATTTGACCCTAAAGTTTGCTCTGAGTTTCCTAGTATCTGGCAAGTAATGAGAAATGGGATATGTAATATGTCCCTGGTCTAACACACACACACACACACACACAATCAAAACCATGAATTCTCTGTGAAGTATTTTTTTTCCAGGTAGAAAGGACAGTGTCTTCAATCATACAGTATAATTTTTGGCAAGTGTCATAATTCCCATGTGGCTATTTCTTATCCTACCTTTATAAGCATTCAGGGAATGGTAGGTGTCTTCCTTCTTTTCTTCCCCCTCCATGAGCATAGTTCACAGAACTGTGTACCCCTGAGAGGGTGACATCATGCCAACATTTTGCTGCTGAAAGATTGGGATTTAGGGATCTGAATGCATGCATCAGTGACTGCAAAGGCGCTAGTTCATTAAATCAACATGGGTGAGGCACACATCTGTGCCTGAGAAGCAACCTATGTGTTATTCTCCAAAGTACAACAGCTGGCCAGTTTCCCCTTGCCGGACACCATGATGCCTCAGCTCATGCAGGGCCACGGCTCCCAGGTGATCCTGCTGGCCTCCGGGTCAGAGCTGGTGGTGTTCACCATACACGGCCTGCAGCTGGTAGCCTTTCAGGACCATCAGAGGCCCATCACATCCATGTGGGTGGTAAGTCCAGCACCACCACCCCCACCCGCCCACAGGATGCTCTACCATCAGGAGTCCACATCCATACCTTACTTGACTTCATTTCAAGGACCTGAACCGAGTCATCACCTCTTCGTTGGACCTGTCTTTGCGTGTCTATCTGTGGAATAAGGAAAATAAACGTCCAGTCCTCAAGAGCTGCTATCATTTGCTTGAGGGATCTCACAGATAGGCCAGGTAATTAAGATTGGATGCTTTATTCCCTTTGCCTATGAAAGTGCAAGCAGTGGTATTTGTTTTCTTTCTTTTGGAACAAGGTCCTGTTATCTTTCCCCGGCTGGCCTTGAACTTCCAGCCTCAAGTCATCCCCCTGCCTCGTTCTCCTAAATAGCTGAGGACTGTGGATGCATATTGGGATAGTCCTTGAAATTGCCTTGTGGAAAATTACTGTTCCTGGGAGCTGTTTTGGTCACATGGCCTTCAGTCAGAGCAAAGAGGCTGACCAAGAACAGATAGTTGATTCTGGTTAGAAGCACCTAATGTACCAGACATTTCTGAAAACAATAGAATCATTTTGGTTCAGGAAGCTACTGTCAGGAGGGAGCTTAAGTATTTGATAGTAATTTCCCAGCTATGAGATTTAGGTTCTCACATAAAAGCCCAGAGTAAGCAAGGGATGAACATGGGTTGGATGCTATTGGGATGGTACAGGCCTGCTCTGTCTTCATGTATAAACTCTACTTAAATGTTTGCTTTTTATCTAAGATTAATGGTTCTGTGTCCCTTCTCTTTGTAGTGGATTTACCCGCGTGAAAAGCGACAGCATGAGCATTGCAGGTGTGGAAGCCAGAAGCTCTGGAACAAGCATCCTGAGGTCCTGTTACTACAAAGTTCAGCTCGACTAGAGCCCACCAGTTGAAAATGATCTTGCTTTGCAGACTCTTGACCAAAGATGTTGCCTGTTCTCACAGTAAGCCAATGAGCTGTTTCCATTGTCTTACAGTTCATTTTTCTATTAGAAAAACGAAGGAGACTAGGTAGCCATCATCAGCCTACTTCCCAGTGCTGAGCAGCTTGCCCAAGGAGTCTCAGGTTGTTGACCACGGGCAGGAATTGAATGCGTAATAGTAGTGCAGTGTAAAGTACCAGGATTGCAGTATAGCAATTTTTGTTATCTAAAATGTAATTAAGTGAATATTCTCTACCTGTTTATGCTGTGTCATATACTGTAGACGTATTAATACATAGCTCCTTCTGTCATGGAGATGAATTCTCTGGAACCATGTTACAAACTCGGGCACCAACAGTACAGAATATAAATAGCGTTTCCAGAGTTGGTCGGTGTGGAAAACCTGGCAGGCTTAGTGGGCCCATCATTCAGGGTTCTTAATTATGAACAATATGTGCTGATGGTGACTCACTGAAATCAAAAGTAGGGGTGGAGTCAAAGCTGAGAACAGGACATGGCTGGGCCTGCTCTGCAGTTCTGGTTCTGTGGTGCCCTCAACATTCCCTGAGGCTACCACTGAACAGGTACCAGAGCCACCAGGGAAGCACTTCCCAGCTGTTCCTGAGGGAGAGTCAGAATGTGTGCGTGCGTGTGTGTGTGTGTGTGTGTGTATTTGTGTGTGTGTATGCTTCTGTGATTTGCTGTTTTGGGGTCACAAGCCCACATGATCACCAAGGCCAGGTAGGAGAGAGAGGGAACCTGGTTCCTTCAACCCCAACCAAGATACCCAAAATGGAAAATTTTCTATCTTGAGGAATTTTTCCTTCTCATGTTTGAAGAATAAAGACAGAAACTTCAGATGATTTTGCCTAGTAGCTGAAAGTGCTGTTTCTAACATTAACCACCCCACTCTCTTTTGGTGTGAAGACAGTGTATCACTATATAGCCCAGACTGACCTGAAACTCAGTATGTAGACCATGTTGTCCTCAAACTCAGAAATCTGTGCCAAACGCTAGGATTGAAAACATGTGCACCACACCTGTGTCAGGAGTAGAGTGGAAAGAGTTGCAGGTAGAAAAAAGAAAGGAAAATAACTTAGGTATGACACTGCCTTGGAAATGCTGAAAATTAAGTTTTCCCATTCCAGTCCAAACAGGGAGCCATAAGCAAGACTCTCTGCTGGGTCTTTCATAAAAACAACATAAAAGCTTAAAGCAGAACAAGGAAAAGGAAACTGAGAGTCTTCGGAAGCAGGAGCATTGTGATGAACTGGAATGGATCAGGGAAAGCTGGAGTGGCGGGCAGCACTGGAATCATGAGCTGTAGCCCTTAGGCAATGGAGCAGTGGGCAGGAATGTGGAGCCACGCCAGACATACAGGACTGGGCCCTTCACTGGGATACAGAATGGGGGAAGAAAATGTTTCTAATAGCAGCATTGTTTTCATGTTTACTGGAATTTAAAATCCTTATATGTAGATAGAAAAGCAGCTGCCTTTGGAACACATGGCCTAAACAGTGCTTGGTGCCCAGCATTATGGCCTGGGGTGTGGGAATTAACTTCCTAGGTTCCTCTGACTGTTTTTCCTTCTCCCAGCCCAGGTTCTCAGAAAGAACCATTGTGGAGAAAGCAGCAAAGCCTCAGAAGAGAGGGAAGAAATGTCTTTTAAAATGTTTGTTCCAATTAGGTAATTATTGTCAATAAACTTAGAACTCATTTTGTATCTGCATCAGTCTTTTTTTTTTTAATCATCCATTATTGTGACAAAATAGAGCAGGTCATTAGTTGTTTTTGATAGATGAATTGGGTCAATCTGGAGAAAGCACCAGGACACAGACAAAACACCAGTAGGATTGAGTTTATTGGCAGAGGAAAAGCACACTGGACAATTCCCTTCGGGATAGGGAAGTTGTCAGCCTACAGGTTGTGGGCTGGCAGTCTTTATAGGGGGTGGGGTCTTTGGGGCATGCAGAAGGCAGGAAGATTTTTTTTTTTAAGTTAGGCAGGAGAGAGGGAGCCCAGGGCTTATCAGAACAACTCCTGTTAAAACCACCCCCTTCCATCAGCCAGGATCTGGGTTATACATTGTAAAACTTACGAGGGTAAAATAGATCCGGAGTGTAGGAGCCTGTTCTGCTTCCAAGATCATCAGAGGAGAAGCAGGCTGTCTTTGACCAAAAGGTGCAGAGTCTGCTTATCTTGCCTTCAAAGACCAGGGTGCACATTAATTCAGTTCCTGCATTCTGAGAGGCTTGCAAAACCGTGAGACCCTGTTGGGGAGGGGGCTGCTGCAGATCTGAACCCTAAGAGTTTTTATTACAGATATTTCTATATCATGAGACAAATAATAGCAACCTCTGTTGGAAATGGCTTATCTCTTAGCCCTTTTTCTAAGGCATAATGCTTTTCATTCTGGGTATTTTGACTTTTTCCCCAATCATAAAGTCATGTGGCCAGCTGGCTTTAGAGACAGGACTTCAGGGCATTTTAGAGATAAATGGGTTTAATCTGAAGTGGGAGGGCTGATCCCAGAGTCAGCTTTTCTGTTTAAATAGTGTAATAATGGTTGGGGGGGTTGTTTTTTATTTTTTGTTTTGTTTTGGTTTTTGCAGACAGGAATGGGTCTCTGGAAAAAGGCCAGTGTGGAATGAGGCTGGAGAATTGGGGCTTTTGTGAACTCTGCCTGGGCGGGCGGGGTGGGGAGGGGTCTGCTGGGGACCTCAGGAGGTGTAAAAGTGATGCTGGAGACCCTGGAGGGAGGCAGAGAGAAACAGTGCTTAGGGCTGTGGCCAGGGGCGAAGCAGCCACTCCCTGCTGTTCTATTTGAGAGGACAGAAAAAGAAAGGAGTTTAAAGTTAAGAAATAAGAACCAGAGCCAGACTTGCAATAAGCAAGGAATATGTCCTCTTTAATTCAGGAGAACATAGCAAAGAGCCAGTGTTTTGTCTGAAGGTACAGACATCAGCAATGCTAAACAGAGCAATCTGATTTTTATATACAGACTGCTGAACACAGTGCCTCCAAAGGGCACTGCATGACATGGGTGCACTTACACACATGCGGGGAATATACTCATATACAAAACATAGAAATAAAAATTTAAAAAATAATAGCAACTTTAGGTCACAAGCTGCTAAATTTTTAAAATACAAAAATGGGACTGGAGATATGACTCAACTGGTAAAGCCTGGCAACCTGAGTTCCATCCCTGGAGCCTACATGGTAGAAGGAGAGAACCTACTCTCAAAACCTGTCTTCTGGCAATGTGCAGGATTTGACCTGGAAGCCTTCTAACTGAAATTTGGCTCTCATAATGCTAGATGATAATATGCAAACTGCCAAGGGAGAAAAATAATCAATGGTCCAACCCAGCCCTAAAGCCTAATAACCATAAGGACTGGCATAGCAAACTACCCCTATTGGTGCAGTCATGGCACTGTTATCTGGGGGGCAATCAACAACTATCTAATTGGACTTGAAGCCCCCTTGGTGGGAGTGAACTTATGGGTGGCATTGTAAACTCAGTCAAATACACATGGCAGGAGAGAGGTCATAGATCTTAGAGAAAACCCTATCTCTTTCATATCTCTAGATAAATGAAATTTCTTACTATATGTTAAATATTGATCCTTATATTTACAGACAAACATATACCCTACTACATAAAAATATACACATAAAAGTATAAATAATTGAAAAGATAAGACCAAGTTAAAACAAAAGATCCTTTTCCTTCCCCATTCAGCAATATGCATTTATAACAGCCAATACTCACAGCACTGGGGAAGAGGGAAAGTACTCCAGAATCTGCTGGGAATTCATCTACATTGCAATGCAGTGGGCTAGCTAGCCAAGAGCTTTCCTCATGACTAGCTTCACCAGAACTGTTGTTGGATGAGCAGAGGTCCTCAGCTGCATTACCACATTCTATGAGAAAACAGGGAGATCAAAACTTGGTGGGGCTAGAGAGATGCTCAGGAGTTAAGAGCACTGGCTGCTCTTGCAGAGGATGTGGATTCTATTTCCAGAACCTACATGGCAGCTAACAATGGCTTGCAACTCCAGGTCCAAGGGATCTGATACCCTCTTGTGACCTCCATGGGCACTGCCACAATGCATGGTGCACATGCATGCATTTGGGCAAAACATTCATGCACAGAACATAAAAAATAAAATATTTTTTAGAGTGGTACAGTAAGTACAAGTCCTATGCAAGCTCAAACCAGAAAAAAATCCTAGCATAAACACAGGAAGTAGGTAAGAGGCTCCAACCCACCTAAGGAAATTATGGCAACAGATGGCTGCTGGGAGGAGCAGGTATAGTCTCTTTCAAGCATGGGACTCTTGGTAGGTTAACCGGGCTCCAGAGGATGGACCCACACTGAAGGACATTTGGGGGAACAAATTAGACTCTATAGATTTTTTTTTTTCTTTTGGCTTTTTGAGACAGGGTCTCCCTGTAGCCCCAGCTGGCCTGGAACTCACGATAGACCAGGCTACCTCAAACTCACAGAGATCTGCCTGCTTCTGCCTCCCAAGTGCTGGGACTAAAGGTGTGTGCCACCACGCCTGGCTCTATAGACCTTTTTATTTATAATAGAGCAAATTAAATTGGATGGGGAGTGTATTAGTTACATGTGTCATGACCAAGGCAACTTAGGAAGAGTCTATCATGGCAGGGAGGCCTGGCAGCAGAGGTAGCTGAAGTAGGAGCAGAAATTAAGCTCTCACATCTTCAAGCAGGCACAGGAAGCAGGAGAGCTACTCAAGATTGGGCAAGGCTCTCTGTGCCGGCCCCCAGTGATATGCTTCCTCCAGCATGGCCACACCTTCTAAGACCTCCTAAAACAGCGCCACCAACTGGGGACAAAATCCTCAAATACTTGGAGCCTATGGGGGATAGTCTCATTCAAACCACCACAGGGATCAATAAGGGGAGCTGTGGATAGGAGAGCGGACCTAAATACCATCAAATTATATTGTGTAAAAATCACAAAAATTGGATAAATATTCATCCCAAGAAATGCTCATGTCTACATGTACAAGCCATTCATAAAATACCTATCCAGCTTGATTACTGAGGAGGCTTATATTCGTTTTATTTATTTATTATTTTTATTTTATTATTTCTTTTATTTTTTTGTCTTTTTGAGACAGGGTCTCCCTGGAGCCCCAGCTGGCCTGGAACTTGCTATGCAGACCAGGCTGGCCTCGAACTCACAGAGATTTGCCTGCCTCTGCCTCCTGAGTGCTGGGATTAAAGGCGTGCACCACCATGCCTGGCTCGTTTTATTTTTTTAAATTGGTAAGAAAATAGTTTATAACAGTTTGGCTAACTGAAAGGGAAAAAAACTAATTTCTCTCTCCTTTTCCTGTGGTAGCCTTACAGTTTATAGAAAGGATGAAACAAAGGCTATAGGAGGTATGTAGATTTAGCTGTGAGACAGTATCAGTCCTGGGGAAGGGCAGATCTGCCACCAGTCCTCATCTCTGTTTGGAACTGGAGATCATCATACTAAGTGAAATAAGTCACTCAGAATGACAAATATCACATTTCCTCTCATATGTAGAATCTAGATTTACACACACATATATACATATATACATATACACACATACATATCACTTTGAAGTAGAAAAGAAGCTATTTGTTTTTTTGTTTTTCAAAATGTATGTTTATTTTATGTGTCTAAGTGTTTTGGCTGCATGTATGTAAATGCAACCGTGCCATGCAATGCCCATGGAGGCCAGAAAAAGATGTTGGATCCCCTGGAACTGGAGTAAAGGATGGTAGTTAGCTGCCATGTGGGTGCTGGGAACTGAACCCAGGTCCTCAATGCTCTTAACCACCGAGCCATCTCTCTAGCCCTGAAAAGAAGCTATTTGGGAGAAGGAAGGGGACCAGTGATAGGAGAAGGGGATAATGGGAATTAAATATTACCAAATTAGGTAATAATTCATATGTGAAGATGTTATAGTAAAACCATATTCTGTATGCTAAATTTAAGAGTTAAAAGGCATAGAAAAGGCAAACTATTTAAAAATCTATGAAATACACTTTCAAAATTATAAAAATATTAAATTTAAAAAAGATTAAATAAGATACAAGAGAAAATAATGCTCTCAAGAGATGTGGTGAACACATGAGGCTGTCGCTGGTATAGCATGGAGCATTATTTTCTAGTAAGCATGTTCTGTGTTGGTATTTGTGTATAATGTGCATACAAATGTGTAAATGTGAGCACACTTGTGTGGGATATATGTGTACATGCATGTGGAGGACTGAAGTTGATGTTGGGTGTCTCAGTCATTTGCATTCTATTTATTGAGGAAGGGTCTCTTGCAGATTCTGGCTAGCCACCACATCTGCCTGGCTTTTCTGTGGATGCTGGGGATCTGAACTCAAGTCTTCACATTTGAATGGCAAGTGCTTTATTCACTGAGTCATCTCCTTGGTCCTCAGTAAACATTTTTTTTATGTAAAAAGGAGCTAATACTAAAACAATATAAATAATATAGTTACACACATAAACCAGAAAACACTGTTGTTATCAAGTATCATGTATAACTGTATGACCTATGCTTTCATATGACTGGCTGCATAGCAAATTGTTTACCGCAATTTCACCACAAACATGTGAGTGATGTGTTATACCACAACAAGAATTTTTCAGGTCTGTTACACTCTTATGAGTCCCCCTTATATATGCAGTCTGTTGACTGGAAATGAGGTTCATGATTACACATTCATAAAGTTGTGTAGCCATGATCACTGTCATGGTGGGTTTTTATCAACTTGACAAAAACCTAGACATACCTGGGAAGACAGAATCTCAGTTGAACTGCGTCCATCAGACTGGCCTGTGAGCATGTCTGAGACTTTTTCTTTCTTTTTTTGAAAATTATTATTTATTAGCCGGGAGTAGTGGTGCACGCCTATAGTCCTAGCACTTGGGAGGCAGAGGCAGGCTGATCTCTGTGAGTTCAAGGCCAGCCTGGTCTACATAGTGAGTTCCAGGACAGCTGGGGCTACAGGGAGACCCTGTTTCAAAAAGACCCCCCCCCAAAAAATCAATGTTTATTTTTATTTTGTGTGTATGAGTGTTTTGTCTGTGTATATATAAGTGCACCTGTGTTGTGCAGTGCCCTCAGAGGCCAGAAGCAGGTGTTGGATTCCCCGGAACTGGAGTTACAGTTATTAGCTGCCATATGGGTGCTGCCTAGGTCCTCTGCAAGAGCAGCCAGTGCTCCTAAGCGCTGAACCATCTCTATAGCCCATGCTACAAGGATTTTTCAACCTCAAACATTTCAGGCTGGAAATACTTTGCTGTGTATTTATCACTCCCCGGCATATGCTCTTAGATGGCAGTGGCATCCAAAATGACACCCAAAATATGTTGAGATGGGACTAAAGTTCTCTGCGACTCGGTGGTCTCTTCCTGGAGACTTGCCACCCTCACTAGCACAGAGTTAGTTTGCATGTTTCCTCTGGCCATGGTCAAGGCAGATGGATCTCTAGAAGGAACGGTGTTGCTGGAAGTCAGAACCTTGTGGAAATTCCTCCTCTCCAGAAGTCATGTTGTTTTCTATGTTGATACTTTAATTACTGAAGTGCCTTTACTTATTGTTGATGATAGTAATTATTATTGATTGCCCATTTTTTTATCTTTTAAAATTTTATTTGTAATTTTTATTTTTAATATATTTTATTTATTATTTTTATTTTATGTGTATGAGTGTATTACCTGTATGCCTGTAAGTGCATCTGTATTGTGCAATGCCTGTGGAGGTTAGAAGAGGGCATCAGAGCCACTGGAACTGGAGTTATAGATGGTTGTTAGCTGCCACATGGGTGCTGGGATTCAAACACAGGTCCTCTGCAAGACCAGTGGTCTTAACCACTGAGCCATCTCTCCAGCCCTGATTGTCCATTTTAAATATGTACTAAGTAGGCTAGTTGGAATTACAAGTCTTTGGAAAACTTTGGAATGAAAAAAGGATCTGACACATTGATACAAATTTGTCTTGACATTTTCCCCTGGTAATTCAACTTGGCCTGATCAAGTTTCTTTTCTATCCATTGTTATTTTGTTTGAGAGACTGGGGATCAAACTGGATCCTCACACATGGTAGGCCAGTGTTCTAGGACAATTACAGCTCCAGCCTTGTCCTCTATACATTATTAAACCACTGGGGCAAAAAAAAAATGTCAGAAGAAAGGGGTCATGCCAGGAATAATGAACCAAAGGTGAAGGCTAAAAGTATTCACCAGACCAGAATGGATATAAAAATTGGGGTTTAGGGGCTACCTGGGGGGAGTTGTTTTGTTCTGCTTTTTTTTTTTTTTTTTTTTTTTCAATAGGGTAAATGGGCAGCCCTGGCTAGCTTGGAACTCGCTATGTGGACAATGCTGACCTTGAACTCACAGACATCTGCCTGCCTCTGCCTCCTGAGTATTGGGATTAAAGGCATGTGCTAACATATCTGGTGGCTATGAAAGTTTTAATAATAATAATAATAATAGTAAAAACACCATGCAGAGAAACAGTGCATGAAGTGAGAAAGAGAGCTCATATCCCTGAAAGGAAATGAGGTCCTTTTATGATAATTAAGAGAAGTTACCTGTCCTTGCCTCATGAGCCATTTGTGTATGGTTGTATTTGAATAGCTAAAAAGGGCAGTTGGTGTCTGGACTTTGGGGTGAGACACCAGGGGCCTTTAGGAGTTATGCTCTTATTGTTTGTATATGGCGTCACTGGTCAGACTCCAAGTAGTTAGGGTGTGACAGAGAGTGGGTTCTACTTTCTGTTTGGGATCTTCCTGTTTCTACCTTTCCCCTCTGATTGACCAGCAAGGTCAAATCATTGACAACAGGCCAAAGATCTTTTGCTTCTGGAACTGCTTCAGAGCTGAGTATGAGGGGTGTGTGTGTGTGTGTGTGTGTGTAGAGGGTCTGGCTGGTATTGATCAGTCATACAATTATAAACCATAAAGGGCTTGAGCCACATCTTGGAGAGGGGAAGAGGTGGTTATGGCAGTAAGTTGATGAAAGATAGATGTTGGTGTAGCTGGTAATGGTCAATATCCCTGAGACAATACCATCTGGCACTTAATGGCCTGTAATCTGGAAGATACTAATTGTATCAGGACTTTAAGTAAGCAGGAGCAGACACAAAGCAGTATTAAAAACAAGAAAAGGTGCAGAGGTGGGGATGGCTAGAGACATGGCTCAGCAGTTAAAAGCAATGGCTGCTCTTACAGGGAATTCGAGTTTGGTTCCCAGCACCCACTTAGCAGCTAACAACCATCCATAACTCCAGTTCCAGGGGATCCAATGCACTCTTTGGACTGCCACAGGCATTGTACAGCACGGGTGCATTTACATACATAGCAGGCAATACACTCATACACCCGCACACACAGACACACACACACACACACACACACACACAAATAAATAAATAAATAAATGTTTTTTAAAAAAACAAGAAAGGAGTTGTAGGAGCTAAGAGAGTTCAAACCCATCCTGAAAGGCTTCTAGGAGCTGTCCCAGCCAGTAGATGTTTATATATAAGGGATGTCTGCCAAGAGGCAGCACATCAGGAGACATTTGATGTGAGACTGTGTCTTCGACCTAGCAAGGACAAAGGAGCTCCCTTTCTAGGGGAGAGGCCAGCCCTTTAAAACAGAAGTGTATGAGAAAAACACAATGAATAGGCCTCCCAGTACTACTACATTCAGCTTTTGGTATAGAAGTAGGAAAAGGGATTATGCCTTGGTAAGTGATGACCTCAGTCCAGCAACAGTTCATAAGAACTCTGCCTGAAGAAACAAGTCTAAGATGAACAGTCCAAACTCAGTTGAGTTCTGCACAATGCTGAAGGACTAAGAGAGAGAGAGCTTTTAAAATTATAGAGTTCAGATAGGAGAGAAGCTTTGGTTACTCATGGATTAGTAAAAGAAAAGAGAACACAAGGGTGAGAGAGACACAACTGTAGATGGGCATGGCCCAGACAGCTCTGAGGGGTTTAGGGTAAGTAGAAGAGTTAATGATGGGACAGGCACCAGAAGACAGAGTGTAAGGGTTGAGGTTTTTAGAGAAGATTGTAGGGAGGGCATCAGAGAGTAAAGATAGTTTTTAATAGCTTCGCTATTATCTCTGTAAGGTTATTCTTCAGGAACTGGTTCAGGCTCTCCAACAGGAGTTCACTGCTCCTTTCTCTCTTCCATTTTCCCCTCTGACTCTCATACCCCCTTCCCCTTGAGAAACTCACCAGGGACCACCTCTCTATTGCATTTCTCACATCTACCGCCAGCTAATTCCACCTAGGAACTCGCCTTGTAGACAGAGTTGCCCTTGAACCCACAGAGATCTGCCTGCCTCTGCCTCTCAAGTTCTGGGATTAAAGGTGTGCACCACCAAGCTTGACTGATCCTACTATTTTAATGTATGGTCATTCTGTTTATATGCTACAGTTGTTTGTCATCTGTATTCATAAATATAGACATGTGTGTATGTGTATGTAAATTGTCTTTTTGTTGTAAAACCTGGTGTCACTGTTAAGAATGCTGTATACTGGCTGGTGTGGTGGTGCATGCCTTTGATCCCAGCACTTGGGAGGCAGAGGCAGGAGGATCTCTGTGAATTGGAGGCCAGCCTGGTCTATTTAGTGAGTTCCAGGATAGCTGGGGCTTCAGGGAGACCCTGTCTCAAAAAAAGATAAGAAAAAAAGAGAATACTATTCCGATCTTAAGATGTGTGTATGTATGGGTGGATATATATATATATATATATATGTGTGTATATATAAATGTGATTTAGTTTTTTAAAACTGCATATATAAGCCAGGTGTGGTGGTGCACACCTTTAATCCCAGCACTTAGGAAGCAGAGGCAGGCAGATCTCTGTATTGGAGACCAGCCTAGTCTACATAGCAAATTTTAGGCCAGCCAAGGCTACTAAGTGAGACCCTGTCTCAAAAAAATCAAAAAATACACATGAATACACACACACACACACACACACACACACACACACACACCCCTTCAAAGAAACACAAAAATCTAGTTTTCTTCTTCTGTGTATGCTTTGTTGTACTTATGACTTAAAAAATTTGGGAACTGGGCTGGAGAGATGGCTCAGTGGTTAACAGCACTGACTGCTGGTTTCAATTTCCAGTATCCAGGAGCACGCTAAAAAGTTATTGTATGAGTAGATCAAATATTTGTTTATTGCTGTTCTTCACTTCTTTTCATATTTTCAGCTGCAACAACCAAGGAAGAATGATCAACGTGGGATGTCGGCTGCTTCCGATAATGGCCAACACACGGACTCGCACACTCTTCAGTTATGCTAATACATAGCAGCTAACAACAATCTGTAACTCCAGGTCCAGGGGATTCAACACCCTCTTCTGACCTCCACAAGCATGGTACAACATGGGTATACACACATGCAGGCAATACACTCATACACATACATTTTTTTAAATAAGTAAATAAATGTTTTTAAAATTTAGGATATAGCACATGTATTCTGTGTTTCAAATATGATTTGTGAAGTATTTTTTGCTGTTTAAAAAAAATTTTTTTTTAAGTGTAGACTAGGTTGGCCTTGAACTCATGGAGATCCATTTGCCTCTGCCTCTTGAATACTGGGATTAAAGGCATGCATCCAGGCCTGGTGATTTGTTAAGGTTTTTTTTTTGTTTGTTTGTTTTTTAAATCTTTTTGAGACAGGGTCTCCCTGTAGCCCCAGCTGTCCTGGAACTCACTATGTAGACCAGGCTGGCCTTGAACTCACAGAGATCTGCCTGCCTCTGCCTCCCAAGTGCTGGGATTAAAGGCATGCGCCACCACTCCTGGCCCAATTTGTTAAGTTTTAATTTAAAATATAATTAGTTTTTTTAACTTTAAAAAAATTATTTATTTTTGTTTTATGTGTATGTGTATATTGCCTGCATGTAGGTAAGTGTACCTGTGTCATGTACTGCCTGAGGTACAGTGTCCTTAACCGCTGAGCGATCTCTCCAGCCCCCCATCCAGCCATCTTAATCTTAATAAAAACTTCTTTACTAAAAATATTTCCATTTTCACATCCTTCTAGCATATTCTTTTACTGACTGGTTTTCTTTCTGAATACCATGAGACATAATAACATTAACAAATAAACTTACCATCTGTTGTGAGAATTTTTTCCCTGAGGGATGGATACTAAGCAATGTCTACCCCCTTCTCATAAGGTTCCAGGGACAAACCGATATTTGAGTCTATTGAAGTTCAACCTGGGAACCAGTGAGTTCATTGAGTTTACTTACAGAACATTAATGAAGGATTACTCACAGGCGTGTGGGTGAACTGAAAGCAACTGCATTGGAAAATCTGCATCTAGCATGAATGATGACTTCCCCATAGCCCAGTGGGTGGAGCACCCTTTTCCTAGACTTCCCCAGTCGTATTCTACTTCCTTCCAAAGACCACAAGGCCATATGCAATTAGCTCAAAATTACATACAACTGCCCTGTAGGAGAGGCTGGATACTCAGGTGAGGGTCCAGTGACCTTGTTCACCCCTCCTATGAAGGAACATCAACAGGCAACAAACCCAGCTATGATGATCTTTTACAAGCAGTTACAGCTGAAGTCATGAAGATGGGAGCTGTTTGGCTTGGAAGATGGTGCTGTGCAACATTGCCTTATTAAAGGGACATTGAATCCAAATTCCATCATAGGATAATATAAGTTGTTATTACTTTTGTACATACTGTTAAGCTGTGGAGAATTTGGAGTTCCCAGGTACACCTTATGGAAAGCAAGACAATCAAAAAACTTTTTTCCCTTTGTACAGTACAGAGTGGCCTACTGAAACTGTGTTTTGGGTTTTGAATGAGTGTAAGTAGCAAATAGAAGTAGGAAGTACATAGCAAAACATCATCAAATTGGTGTTTACAACATATAGCAGAAATCAACTAAGGAAACTTTGTTAAAACTGTGATACTGGAGTTACTGACAGAGGATCCCTTTTTTCTTTTGGCAGAAGGTCTTCCCTGTCCTCTCCATGGACTGTAAACAGTCTATTTCTTCCTTCGATTTATCCTGCTGGCTCACTCATTAAGTAATTAAATAAATCTTAGTACTCATTATACATTTGTATTAGTCTGTATTACTTTTCTCATTGTGACAAAATAGAGAATTCCATTAGCTGTTTACTATAGATATCTTTATATCATGAACCTGTATAGATTTGTCCAGATGAGTCTTATCATCTATGGGTCTTACACTGGAAATGTGAATTCACAAGAAAACTTGATTTTGCAGGGTTGCCCTCTGATATCTCTAAACTTTATAAGGTCATGAGTGAGTAGCAGTTAGCACCCATGATGGAAGTGGAACAAGATAACAGGTGTATCTGCCTTTAGCAGCATCTAACCTGAGATCTTTGGCTATACTTGGAGTGACCAGATGCTTGAAAGCTTATACCCATGATCAGTTAGCTTGTGTCTGTAAATGGAGGCAGACAACCTGAAAAACTTAGTAAGTATCCTTCCTCTTATAAAGAAATCCAATTGCAGGATAATAGAATACTCTGACTTATTTTTCTGTCCTCCAGTTTAACTTCAGGGCTTGAGTGCAGAAAATTATCAGACTTTTTTTTGGGGGGGGTTCTGGTTAATCTAATCCTGCCTGTGTAGGACCCACTATCCGTAAAACCTCTGCAGTAAATATTGGCCCTCATGTATCAAGAAAGTCAGCCAACTTCTATTTTAGGGAAGGTCTTAAGTTGCTTGTGGGTTGAAACCTTTAATATCCCCTTCAATGCTTCCTTTGACCCTTTTTTGAAAATTTATAATGTCAATCTCTATTACAGTTTTCAATCTAGAGAGGAAGCAAGCACAATAAGCACTCAGGCTGAGTATCCCAGCGCTCTAGAGGCCGAGGCAGGCAGATCTCTGTGAGATTGAAGTCAGTCTACTCTATGTAATGAGTTCCAGGCCAGTTGGAGCTGCAGGAAGACCGTGTCTCAGAAAGACAAAAAAAGTTTGTGCATCAAATACTTGAAGAATCAAGTACTTATAATATAGAGAATATGGAACACAGAAAACAGAACCACTTTAGAAAACTTGAAAGAGTTGATATCCAAATGCTTTTTTCTCTTCAGCTACTAACAAGTGTGTAGCAAAGGAATCCAAAAAGAGAAAGAATGCTTTATCTCAGAGCATAACAGGCTTAAAGCCACAGGGCAGAAAAAGCAGGCATTAATTCTCAGCAGAGTCTGCATCTCCAGCCTCCCACTCAAACAAGCTGATCTCCATCCCGGGCTGTCACAGCTTCCCACTGGAAAAAGCTTGATTAGCACCTGGTAATCTATCTTTCAAGTCCAGTCAGGATTTGTGCTTTCACAAATGAGGCCCCAAACCACTGAATTCTCACGAGTTTCCCAGGTCTAACCATCTCAAAGTACTAGCTCCCTTTGTCATTGGAGGCACATGTCTGAGAAAACTCCAAGTCTCCTTTAGAAACCAGCAAATACATCATACAAAACAATATCAAAATACAAAACAAAGAGAGCTAGTACTAAACACTATGGAGGTCTTGTATTACCACCTTAGTCTGACATGAAAATGCATTGACTTTATCACATGGCAATAGAGCTGGAGTCTCCTCTGGGTCTCACATTTCTATGATTCTGTAGGCATCCACAGAGATAAAAACCAAAAAGGGGGAAAAAAATTGGGAGAAGAGGATTGGGACATGTGATTGTCTGTGCTATAGGAAATTCCTAAGGTACTATGGTCCCCTGAGGGCTCAGTGACACTGAGAAGTTTTTATTTTTTTTATTTTATGTGTATGAATGTTATACCTACATGTGTATAAGTGCACCTGTGTCATGCAGTGCCATTGGAGGACAAAAGAGGGCATTGGATCCCCTGGCACTGGATTTACAGATGGTTGTTAACTGCCATGTGGGTGCTGGAATTCAAACCTGGGTCTTCTGCAAGAACAGCCAGCGCTCTTAACCACTGAGCTATCTTTCCATCTCAGCACTGAGAAAATTTTTAAATATTAATTGAATTTTTGTGTATTTCATACATAAACTCATATTTATACTCCCTTCCCCTTTGGTACCCTCCCATAGCCCCCCCCCCATAGTTCATATATTCTGTCATTTGTGCTAAGGCCTATTATGTAAAGTTAGTGTCCTGAGATGTCCCTCAGTGCAAGTTCATCCACTGGGGTTTAGTCAGCCTATTTAGAGTCTCTCCATTCGAGAAGATCATCAGCTCTTCCTCACCCAGCAGTAATCAGCAGCCAATAATTCTTCAACTAAGATTGGGGATTGCTGTTCATTTCTACAGGTTTGTGCTGGGTTTTTGTCTGCTTAAGTTTGCATGGGTCTTGTGCATGCTGACACCATTGCTGTAGGTTTGTATGAGAAGGGCCCTAGGCACCTGTAGAACCATTTCCATATGGCCGTTGTGTGCCTCCTCCCTGGCTCTCACGATCTTTCCGCCCCCTCTTCCGCAATGGTCCCTGACCCCTGGGTGGGTGGACCTCGATATAGGAGTCCTGTCCAAGGACGACACTCAGCAGACCCTTATTTTCTGCATTTTGGCCATTTGTAGCCTTTTGTGTTCCTGGCCCTTGGTTGCATAAAGGAGCTTCATTGATGAGAATTGAAAGATGCATTAGTGTTCTCTTCATCCCTTGTTCTGTGTTCTGTGAGCCTTAGGTGTAGAGGTTGCATCCTAGATATACCACTTAGGCTTGGGGAATTCACAGAAAATCTCTGTGTGGGACCAGTGATGTAATTCTGTAATAATCTCTGTCTGTTGAAAAAGAAGTTACATTGATGGGTGGTGACTGGGATACTTGTTTAAGGATTTGCTGCTAGGATCCACAAATGAGGGAGAGCATACATCTTATAATTTTCTAAGTCTGAATTACTTCACTTAGTGTAACTGTTTCTAGATTCATCCATTTACCTGTATATTTCATTATTTCATCTTTCTTTACTGCTGAGTAGAACTCCATTGTGTAAATGTACCATATTTTCAATAACCACTCATCAGTTGAGGGGCACTTAGGTTGCTTCCATCTCTTAGCTATTGTGCAAGGAGCAGCAACAAACATGGTTGTACAAGTATCTCTGCAATAGCATGAGTCCTTTGGGTATATGCCAAGGAGTGGTATAACCAGGTCATTTGGTAGGTTCATTTTTAGTTCTTTAAGAGTACTCCACCCTGCTTTCCATAGAGGTTGCACAAGTTTGCAATCCCACCAGCAGTAAATAAGCATTCTCCTGTCTCCACATCCTCACAAGCATTTGGTATCATTTGCCATCTTGATCTTAGCCAGTCTGACTGGGGTAAGGTGACTTCTTAAGGTGGTTTTAATTTGCATTTCCCTAATTACTAATAA